TAATTATTAAGGCTCCGCCTATTAGCAAAGACAAGGCAACTACTCCACTAATTACCAAAATTATTGTTTTTTTTTTTTTTTTTTGCTAAACATAGATTATAATATATTATTTTACTTCTACTTCTAAATTAATTATTAAATTATGCTTCTCCAAATTCTCTAATTGTTGAATATGATTGATATTTAATACTCCGGTTAATTCCTCCTTTCACTGACTAGTAATTTGGCCTTTTTCTTGCCGATAAGCAATAATTTTTTCGGCTAGTTTTTCCCCAATTCCCGCAATCGCCGTAAAAGGGAAATAGATGGTATTATTTTCAATTTTAAAATCTTTAATTTCTGAATTATTGAAGTCCAAACCCCGAGCAAATTTTAATCCTTTCATTTCCATTTCTAAAACCACTTTTAAAGTGAAAAGTAGGTGCTTTTCTTTGGCCGTTAATTTTCAAGTTTTGCCATTTTTTCGTAAACTTTCAATTAATTTTTGATCCCCTGAATTATTTATTTTTTCTTGAATGCTGGCTAAAATTTTGTCGATATCCATTTTCTCTAAAGCACTTCCCGGAATTTTCTTGCCGTTGGTTGTTTTTTCCATCCTTTTTTTTTCTTTGTTTAACTCCTCAAAAACTTTGATAATTGATAATAATTCTTTTTCGCTATTTTTGTAATTGGTTAGACTTCCCAATAAGTTATCCAAACGAAAAGCAATAGCAACTGGATCCAAAGTCATTAATCAAATGTCATAAACGGCGGTATGGTAAGTTAACAGAACTGAATAAAATTCCTGAGGATGATACAACTTATAGAAAGCGGTGCGTCAGGCAGTCATGGTGTAAGCAATCGCGTGAGGTTTGGGGAAAATGTATTTGATTTTGCTGAGGATAGAAAAATATAATTCTCCTTCTTTGTCATTTAATTTACTTTTCATTTCCTCCTTAATATTTTCTGGTAATTTATCTCACTTTCCTTTTCGAATATACTCCGTAGCAATAAAGGCATTTTTGTTATCTACCCCTCAGGAGACCAAGAAATTTCAAATATCTTCTCGACAAGCAATTAGTTCGCTCAAAGATAATTGTCCGTTTTTGTAAATGGTATGCTGGTTTTGAGTTCAAACATTAGTGCCGTGCGAGAAGCCAGAAATTTGAACTAATTGGGAAAATTTAGTCGGTTTTAAGGGAGTTAACAGATTTCTTTTGACAAAATCAGTCCCGAATTCTGGTATTCCGAGGGTGTCAGCATTGGTAAACAACTGCATTATGTTTTTATCCTGGAAAGAAATTTTGCTTGGGTCAACCCCGGTCAATTGGAATAATTTATGCAAGACAGTAGGTTCGTCATGGCCTAAAATATCAACTTTGAGAAATATTTCAGACAAAAAACTATATTCAAAATGAGTAGTCATTCACTCTGATTGGCGGTTATCAGCCGGATAATTCAAAGGAGTATATTTTTGAATGTCGGTGTTAGGCAAAGTAATCAAAAGGCCACCGGGATGCTGACCGGTAGTGCGTTTAATGCCTTTTAGTTCTTCAATAATCTCCTCCCGCGGTCTTTCTTTTTCGGCTCTTAACTCCTCCCATATTTTTCTTATTTCTTCCTCCTTTTCGCTAATTTTTTTTTTAATTTCGTTCAATTCTTCACCCATCTTTATTAAAGAAGTTTTTATAATTTAGTTATCTTT